TAAGTACAAAGATAATTATTTTAGTATTAAATCTGCCTTAATACTGTCCAATTTTAAGAGAGAAAATGTTTACGGCCTCCTGAAAGTACCGGTGAAAATTGTTCGTTGTAATAATTTTTTATTATCATTAGTTCGCCTCGAGAGACAATGATAAGTTTTCGCTTTTTACGAACATATGGTTCTTCATAGCTCCCTAGAAATCGAAAAGCACATTTATGTTCATCAAAGAAGTCACCAAATGTCCTTAAATTGAATTTTAAAAGAACTGAACTTTTCCTGAAATTTCAGGCAAAACTACAATAGGAACCAGATTTCAAAACTTCGAATTTTTTCTTTTCAACTCTATTATTTGTTTTCACAGTATTCAAATCATAACAATTTATTGTAACTTGAATTCTTACCTCTATTTTTTTAAGACGATCTGCCCTAGTATTTAAATTGTCGTCGATAGCAGACAGTTTCTCTTATGTCCTTAAGTGAGTAATACTCACTTCTCATTTCATGAACTTTTTTTTTAAAGTGTTTCAACTGTTTTTCTTTCAGTTCAATTAACTCGATGTTTGCGGATAAATTTTACAAAAACTTTCTGATCGAGTAATTTTTCCTCTTATTGTTACTTTTTAATTAATTGTATCCATAGTCCTGATTGCAGGCTCCATCAGCAACGAATCCAAAAAGTAATATGTAATTTAATATTTTTACAAGTAGCCATTGCATCCTTCTAAAAATGTAGTATTTACAATATTTAAATTGCTGCAATAGTAATTATTTAAATTGTAAGCTTAGAAAAATTCATAATTGTAAGGCAGTCAAAAATCATCCGGCTCAAATTTTGCGGGAACTCTGGGACTTTTCAAAGCGCATGCGCTAACAGGAATTCAAACGTTGTTTTTAATGAAATTTAGGTAATCATTCAGTTTTACGTAGTTCTCTTAAGTAAACGTTATACTATTCCATTTGGTGCACAAATTGTTCTCTCTTAAGTTAAGGTAAAAACCTGAAGTCTGGTGAATCCAAGGTTATATCAGTAAAATTATACCATTTCGTCATTTTACCAAGCTTTTAAGGTAAATCCTCGGACTTTATTTCGAGCTTTTACAGTAATATTCACACATACAATTTAATGTTTAGGTCACTATGCCTGCGTTGCCGTGGTCTTCAACTCTTTTGTTCATGTGTGCACCTATTCTTAGTATGCCCTCTCAGCTTACGGAGACAAGATGCAAGAAATAATCAATTCCAAAAAAAAAAATATCTCACTTTTATTCAAGTTGTAAGTATTCATCCAAATATGTTATGTTTATAAAGAGACATTTGGAAAATTATCAGGTATCTCAAATCACTTCTAAATAGATCAAGTAAAATTCTAAAGATTAAAATTAATTTTTTTTTTAATTTTAGAAAATGAAAACACGAGGAATAGTTTGACACTTTAGAAAATTGCAAACAATAATATATATATATATATATCGAGTAGNTATATATATATATATATATATATATATATATAAATATTTCGCTTAAACCAATTTGGGATCAGGGAATAAAAAATTTTCCAGAATTACCTTCACAGTTTTGGTGTGAGCCAGAATCTGATTAGTCAGAATCTCACAGTCTTGGTGTAAGCCAGATTGGAAAAGGGGGGAGGGGTTGTAGGTACAAAATTATAAAGATTCGTGCTAACAATATTTTTACAAAATATCATATTTTTAATCTACAAAATGCTTTTAAACTATTTGTACAATTTGTAAATTATAATATAATAAATTTGAGCTTATATTCATTTCACTTTCTGTCAGGGGCCCCCATCAGGGAGGAAGTATATATCAGAGGGAGCGCACGATGCTCCCACTTAAAGCTTGGGGGGGGGATTTTTACACTAAATAAAACGAATAGTTTGGGGGGGGAATTTAGAATTGCCCAAGAATGCGCCCAAGAGCTTGGGGGGTGGGGGCCACTGCTTTCTAATCACTCGTAATTCTAATGAACAATTCGTAAAAAAGAAAAAGCAACAGAAGAAATTTACTTGTAATTTGAGGGATCCTTATGAAACGTGAGCATGCTCTCTTTCAAATGCCAGAATGAAATGTGGCAGTATAACTGAATAGTTCATTGGAGTGGTTTCGGTTTCGAAAGATTGTTTCTACTTCTTGCAGAATGACAATTTCTGTATATATTATCATTCGATTTGATGATATTTATTTTGGAGAAACGCTCTCTATACTTTTCATCATAAATTAAAATAGGTTTTTATTTGTTAGTTTCGGAATTGATTTAACTTTTGATAAATTTGACACTTATTTGTAATAAAAAGGTTTTTAAAACGCAAAAATTATACTTTAGAACATTTTTCAGGAACCTAATACTGTACCAGGTAGTCTCAAGATACTCGAAATAAAACTTTTAAAGTTTTTTTTCTTAATATATGTCGAAATTATTTTAAACGAGCACAGCTGTTTCTAGAATATTAATTTTTTTTCATGCTAAAAACTTTATCATTTCTAAAATTGAAAATAAAACGATACTACTTTTATTTTATTTCGTTTCTTATTATTTTTTAATTATTGTATATTAATAAATATGATATTAATCTTTAGAGAATTTTACAGTATAATAATAAATAGTTATTAGTTTCCACACAAAAAGTGAATTTTTCTATTAAAAAGCACATCACATGCAACTTATACATTAGCTAAATATCTTAATCTTTCTTTGAAATTCGAATGTTGAAACATTAAAAATTTTCGATATAGAATTGTATCAATTTATTTATACGAATGAAATATCCAGAATCCTCAGGACAATAAAAGGAAAAAAATAACTTTGAAAAGCGCCCTTATGAAATGCTCGTGATTTTAATAATATTTAAGCTAGACATTTGTTACTCAGCCTGTCCGCGTTGAAGGTTAATGTATAAAATTTTTTACATCATTTTAATATGTGCCAGATAAAGTGTTAATGAAAGGGAATTCATTATAATTATAAATTAATTGGAAAAAAAAGGTTTGTAACGGTGCAATCGGTGTGTAATTGATCTATGATCGTTCCATTAGAATTTAATTGCGTCGAAAGAACGCGTTCTCTAACTTATCTAGTTTACTCATATCTGCTCTCTATCCAATTTACAAAATCGGAACTACTCACCCATAACGATGAACCACAGTATTTTTGCAGCATTTCATGCTGACCCACTTCTTTAAGAAAATCATACAAATAACGAAACATCAGAGTTTGAAAAAGAAAATTTATAGCATTTTATTTGAACTATGATCATCACATTTTAACATCCTTCGTTTTTTCGTTAAAATCACATATTTAAAAAGGAGAATTGCACACACTTTTCAAACTTCTAATCACACAGCGAATTCACTTCTCTATTTTTTTTTTTTTTAATTACGTCCATCATTTGCTCTCTCTCGAGCATGAGAAGTCTTGCAGTCCAATATAACAACAACAAAAAATATCTCCAGGGGCGGAGAGTGTCTTGAAACTAGAAGAATTGCGGGCCTCCTGGAGGGCAGAGCAGTTCCATAGATGCCCGCCATTCATATGGGCCCTATTTGTACACAGAGTACAGTTAGAAGAGTCAAAAAGACCAACACACAAGATAAAGACGAAGGCTGTAACAGATTTAGCGTTATCCAGGTTGCACCACGAGGAGCTCCTCCTGTCAATTCTCTCGTCCATAATGGTGCCTCAAAATCCATCCATGAGCTCTCAACATTCAGCCAATCGAGAAAGAGTGTACACTAATACAAAATAGCCAATAGTTAAAAAGATAGGAACTCTCAAACTTTATAGGAATGAATGAAGTTCAAGTGATAGAATCGAGGGAAACGTCAAAGAGTCCTTTTTGAAAGTAAAAAGGGCCCAGTTGAAAATCTCTCAATTAGCTGAGGGACACAAGAAATATAGTTTGAGTCGAAGGGTGAACAACAGTGGTTTTGGTTCGGCAGAATATTTTGGTTTACGATCAAAGGAGAGAAAATGCAGGTTATGTTGTTCCTCCGGACAGAGGAGCAGGAGTTGCGGATTTTAAAGAGTTCGGTCTTGCAAAGGATGTTTACGAGTGTAGGAAAAAAAGAGGATCTCTTTTGATAATTAAAACACTGCACAACCTAAAGAGGAGAAAAATATGAAGAGGGCGATAGAGAATAGTATTGCACAGTTTAAACATAATATAAAGTGGATAATAAAGCACGTATTGCACAATTTATATATGTTTATAAAACATCACAATAGAATCATTAGTTAATAAAAAATATGTCAATTGAATGATAAAATGAAGCTATTTCGTTGTACATAATTCCTCATTCCTTAGAGAAAATGCATATATGTGGGCTGTGGAAACATTCATTACTTGAGTCAAACCTAAAGTAATGAAAAGTAAATGACGCATAGAAGGCAAAAGTTTATATGTTTTGAAAAAAAAAGAATTAAAATCAATGGGAGGTCAATAGGACAAATATCTTAAAGAAAAAAATTAAATTTCGTTAGCAAAATTAAAACAAATTAAGGTTTTTGAGGAGAATAAAACCTTGAGAAAATAGAACACGATCTTTTTTTTGCAATTTAACTAGCCTCAGACTAAAAATCAATGTTATTACCGATTATTTTCTATTCTGACTCTAAATGTATTTAAATGTCCTATTTCATTATTAAAATTCAACGAAAAATAAATGTCACTTCCAAGTTCAATGAGAAACGTCATGTTTGAGTTCATCTTACAAATGGAACGCTTTTGGGGTGACGTAGAATATTGGTGGTCTCAATCACTTTCTGACCAAGGAAAGTGATCACCCATTTAAAGCTAACTTAGCGGTCATCGAAGCAACGTATAGTCAATGAATGTATAATAAAAAGAAAAGCATATAAAAGTCATTAAAAAGTAAACGAAGAGGTTTAAAACGCAAATGAGTTGAATATAAAAAGTTTATGAAATTCATGAGACGCAGATAAGAAATACTTTTTCTGATGGTGCTGTCTTATCTTTATAAGACGTGATAAAGGCTATCAGTGCAAACTGTTTCACTCGCACGGGAAGCGAAACATAAGCGCTGAATATGTTATTCGAAGTAGTCACTTCAATTGTTTTAATTTGCTTTATTGCTTTATTTTTACTACTATGGAAATTGGATGGCGATTTGACTTTATGTTATTATGATTATTTGGATGATATAGCGGGTAAGTTTGTACTCTTAATTCTGCTCAACAACACATTTCACAAATACATTTAGCAATTGCGCTTTGTTGAATAATGATTCAATTTTTGAAGCAGTATTCAATTTGAAGTAAAGTTTCATTTCCTCTTCTTTTTGAAGTAATATTCAATTTGAAGTAAATTTTCATTTCCTATTAAAGAGGATTAATAAATAAATTCGATCGGCAGAAAAAAAGACCGGGTATCATTTAGTTCGTAAATAATTTTTAAAAAAAATCTCAAGGGATAAAATCAATCTCAAGGGATCGAAGACCTATCCCAAATTACGATAATTACTTAGTTCAGGTGATATTTTAAGTTACAAAATCAGATACAGATAGGTACGTACTTTCTCTGAATAAACATACTTTTTCTTCAACGGATTCCGGATCCTAAAAATAGTAAGAGTAGTCACACTATGGATCTCAATATTTTGGGTCCCAATAGTTTGCTGTCCAAAATTTAGATTAATTTTACTTTTCTAGTATTTCACCCTTCTCGAGAAATTTGTTGGCGAATTAGAAAATCTTTTCACATAATTATAATCCGAAATTAAATTCATGCAAAAAACAGTCTTTAACATTATTTTTTTCATTATTTTATTTAATAATAATCGAACACATTTTGAAATGTAATGTATACACATTTTTGCAAGATTTCAGAGAAAATTATTTTAAATGGTGAAATACAACATTTGTGCGCAATCGATTGTTAAAGTTATGATTAAATCAAATTTCAAATATCTTTTGAATCAACATAATGCTTTTATAATTTGCAATTTAAATAAATATGAACAAAACATTTCGAAAAATGCAGTAAACATGTGTTTAGTAAAGTAATAAAAATATAATATAAACATTGAAAAATTATGGTTATGAAATAAATATCTGCTTGAAAATAATTTGCGTGAAATAATCAAATAAAATTTTTAAAAAGAACTTTCAATCGATAGCAGAGGTTCTCAAACAATGTTAGTTCTCAGCAATATGTTGCTTTAAACTCCTCGAAAAGGTGGGACATGTTTTAAATAATTAAAAACATATAATAGTAATTTGAGACATAAAGTTTAAATTTAAAACGAAATTTTACGAAGAAAATGGAAAAATTATTTTAAAATTATGATGTTTTGAGCTGTTAGTGAATAAAGTGTCGTTCAAATATTATACTTTAGTGTGTTTTAACAATTTTTGGATTGTTACTCCTCCCCCTTGTTTTTGCTTTAATTTTGACTTTACAGTAGTAATTTTAATCTTAATTTAAGATTAATTTCAAATAAATATTGTAACGTTGTGTTAAAAAAGAAGCAGGACCCACAATAAGCATTCGCCAAAAGCGATAAAATCGTACATTTGGCGAATAAAATTGTGTTTTGACGAAAGTATTGGAGAATAATTTTTTCTACTGGAAAGAAAAATATGCAAAAAAAAATTTTTTTTAAGATTTGTATTTAGCGAGGACTTTCGAAAATTGGCGAATACTTTTGTTATTTGGCTAATTTACTGACCAATAATTTGAAATCCTTAGCACGGGCCCTGGGAAGAGATTTTTTCCCAGATTTTCTTTTCTCAAACTTCACTTTTGTTTTAAATTACCTAATTCTTTGCAGAAGACACAGCAATGATAAACTAGCTGTCATCCAAAATGAATATTTCCTAATAATTGAAAAATGATTCAAGGAATAGAACATTAGCATAGATAAAACCCAAGCCAACATGCTTACCAAAAGTAGCCCCTGACAAAGGCAGAAATGGAGCTCGACAAACGGCTTGTTTTAGTTAGAAAACAAACCTTTAATATCTCAAAGAAATTTAAAGCTGTTAGGGCAGAAAATCTAATCTTAACAAAAGGAACGAACTACTTATCGATAAAATGACACTCAAGCCCATCCTTAGTTATGGGTGACAAATTTGTGATTGGGCTGCCACAAATAAAAGCTACAAACTTTACTAAAACCACCCTCAGAACTATTGTTAATGCTTCAGAAGTAATTAAGCGAATAGCCTGACCAACTTAACATTTCTTATTTAAAATTTTTATTCCCCAGGTTACGGTTTCTTTCTTTTTTTTTCTCCGTCAAGCACAGTCCATCCTCCCACCTGCAGTAGTGATCAAAACAACTTCCTTGGGCCCTACAGACTTCTAACTCTTTTGAACCATGATCACGTATTGAACATTTTCGTGACATTTGTTTGAACAATCTCAAAACTCTTTTGAACTCACAAATTTTACTAAGTGCAGTTTTGTACCTGTCTACATTTTCTGTTTAAACAACCTGTATTTCCAACTGATTTTTTTTAACACCATCAATGTACTCGTTGGATAAGTTGGGCTCATTGGATACTATTGGCTATTGTCGGACAATCTCAGAAGCGAACCCATCTTCACCTCAGACCGACGGCTTACTATTAGGATCTTCGAACTGACCATTCTTTTTTTTCTCAACAAATTCCAGCTTAAGTAATGAATTACTGATGTAAATTTCTTACCTCAAGCACTTAATTCCCTTAGGCTAGTACAATTTTTACAGGAGATAAGCAATAAAGTGCAAGGCGCATCATATTCATTCCAGTTATTTAAAAATTTTACAAAAATAGCTTCTTCCAAAAATGTTTTTGATACAAATTTTTTCACATTTAACAAAGTTTTTGAAAATTTTGTGATTTTAATGTCATATTTAAACAATATTCTCTCCACCCTTGTCAGCAAAAAATAAACAAATCTCACCCCCATTAGACGCTTACGTATTATTTGAACGGTCTAGTGAAAATAAATCCAGTATCGATTGTTTATAATGGATCAGAGGAAAATTATTGTAAAATCTGTAGCGTAACAACTCTTCGAATTTGACGTTTAACAGCTTGAAAAATTGTGTAAAGAGACACTTTAATCCAAGTTAACATCAAATAGTTCTTTAATATACAATTTAATGGCTGTATTAAATCTGAACACCAATAATTGAGAATGCTTACTCGTAAACATTCATGAAAAAAATAGGTTGTTTTCGAGAACACCAGCGTTTGCGCACTTTGTATATCATCATCAGTAGTTTGTTTATCATTGAGTAAGAGATGGAGCAAGGTTTACTTTAACGCAGCTACACAATTTACACTGGAATAAAAGTTTACCATTAAAATATTAATGTATAATTTCAGTTGTGTAATAAGGAAAACTATATTTGTAATTTTAAATATCAGTGAACAGTATTAAAGGATTTTTAAATATAATTCATTTCTATCCACCTCGGTTCTGTTAAGCCTATTTCGAATTCTTACTATTCCTTCTGTGCTGTGAGCAGGCTTGATTACCAAACTAATTCTATTTTAAGAGAAATAGTGAACAAGTGCATCCTAAATGACTGATTCTTGCTCTATATTGTCTAGTAAAAATAATTTTACTGATTTTTACGTGTATCATATCTTATTGTAATTATTAATTTTAGCATTATTGCATAACAAACATGGTGGTGGTTTTTTTTTTTACCCCAAGTAGTGTAAGGGAACATTCGAAATGTCTTACTACATGGTGAATTATCCTTTGTTCTTGCTGTAGGAAAACACTTAGAGATCCAGCACTTTAAAGTAAAGGCATTGCAACAATTTTTGGTGCTCAGATGCACGAAAAATTTTGTTGCAGTGTAATCGAATCTAAAAGTCGGAATTTAGTTAATCTATCAAGTATTTACACGTTATTCGACAAACAAAACCGGCTCTGATGAAAGGCAACAGCTGGCAACGCTATTAAAAGATCAACCAAATACATAGTGATTCATTTTCCGGCCTTGAATTGTTATTCCATTCTTAATAGGATCACTTCACGAGAAATCACAATCTTACAATCCGATGATAGACCATGGTGTCTCAAGGGCTAGAGCCTTCCAATGAGATGAATCGTGTTCGAATCCCAGCCATGGCTGGGTGATACTCATTCCGCATCCGGCTTGCACCGACCACAGTGCTTACGTAAAATATCCTCAAAGGTAGGCTGATCATGGGTTAGAGTCCCCTTGCTGTCAAGCTAACCGTGGGCGGTCTCCGTGGTTTTATTTCCCATATAACGCAGATGCGGGTTAGTTTATCAAAATGTCCTTCACGAAGGCAAGTGTCTCCCAATACTTTATCCTGGAGTTACAAAGTCTTCTGGATTGGGTTTAAAATTACAAGTCTACGGAGTTGAACATTGGAAGTCGCAAACCCAAAAAAATTGGGCCGGCTGTTTAACGACGGTTAGAAAATAAAAATTCGGTGGTGGGAAGCCGTGGTGATTCAAGAGCACTCGCCTCCCAATGAGGTAACCTGGGCTCGTATTGAATCCCAACAATGACAAGTCGATATGCATCCGGCTCGCTCCGACCACAGTATTGACATGAAATATACCCAGTGGTAGGCGTATCATGTTCCCTTTTCCTGCGATCGCCCCGTAGATGGTTTTCCTCTCCGTGTAACACAAATGACTCTATCAGAAGTCCTCTACGAAGGCTAGCTTCTACTAATTCTTGATCCAGGAGTTCCCTTTTCTTCTGGGTTGGGTTCAAAATTACAAAGCTACGTAGTTAAATAATGATAGTCGTAAACTTAAAATTAGGTCTGCTGTTAAAAGCCGATTAAAAATAAAATTTTAAAAAAAAGTCGGAGGTAGCATTATTAACAGAGTTTATATTCACAATTCGATGTTACTTTTAAAACTATCTTTATATTTAGGAAATAGAGTGCCGTGTTATCAGTGATTATTACTATCTAGGAAAAAAGACTTTGCATAATAAATAAAGGTTTTTAATAATTGTTTTTGCTAAAGTTATTAATTATTGTTTCCACAATTGACTGATTGATGCAAAATATAGTATTGCAATCCGTTAATTGTTGTAATATTCGTAATGGCTTTTAATATGATAGGTCTATTAATGAATTTTTTAATATTATTTGCTCAGCATATGTTTCATTCAGATTTCTTTTTCCTTTTTTTATTTCTTTAACGAATGAGATCTATA